TGTCTTGAGCATCTTGCTAGTCACAGAGTGCAGTAGTGTGCAGACAAATACAGTCCTTCTGCTTGGGGAGGTGGCGAACCACTGCTAAATAATAACAGCTTGTAGGAACGGAACCAAGGGTTTACTCTTGTTAGGCACTGTTCTTAGTATGCATTATCCCGTTTAAATCTCATGGAGGTAGCTATTATTATTATCCCCATTTTACAGATGAGAAAACTGAGGATTGCCCAAAGTCGCACAACAAGGAGTGGGCAGAACTTGGATATGAAGGCAAGGCTGTCTGATGTCACATACTTAATCACACATATGTCTTCTCTTTCTCTCTCACAGCTTCTCATGAGGAAGAACTTTAGGGCCTGACGTGTTTGTGGCTGGAGCATAGCAGCTCTTCTTCAGCTTTGCTGCAGTTTCTACTGAATATTTTGGTTTGCAAATATAAAGGATTCTCTGAAGCACAACCTTAAACAAAGTGTGGTAGACAGCTGGGAGAGGACAACTGCAGACAGAAAAATGTGGCCGGATGCTCTGGGGGTGGGTGGCAGCAATATTCAGCCAGGTGGCTCCAAGGAGAGGAAGCAGTGACGCATTGAGGTAAGAGAGCTGACAGATGAAACCACACAGACCCCAAGGCAGAGTGGAAAGAGGTGCCTTAAATCTTGCAGGGTGTGCTTTTATCAAGTTATGAAAGTGCAGTTGGGATACAGGTTTGCTTTCTGTTGCCCATATCATCAGAGTGATGATTCAGATAGATTTAAAAATTATTTTATCCTGAAATATGTCTGATGTGAAGAGGTGAAAATAACATCTTAGGATTAAGAGTCAGGAGACCTAAATTATTGTTCAGATATGCACCATCTAGTTTAGGTGTGTGAACTTTTGCAAGTCCTCTAACTTCTCTGAATGTAGATTTCTTCCTTTCTAAAACAAGGGAGTTGGGTTACTGAGCCGCAAGAAATTTTCTGCTTCCAGACTGCTCTGATTGTCTCTAGCACTGGAAATTTGGACACAATTAGAAGGCATGTTTCCAGCCCTTTAGACCTACAGTGCCTAACTCAGTAGCCACACGTGGCCATGGAACACTTGAGATGTGGCTAACATGACTAAATTTTCAAATTTATTTCATTGTCATTAAATTTAAATTAAGAAACTGGCACTATATTTAGTATTGAAATTTTTTATTTATTTTTGAGACAGAGTCTTGCTCTGTCACCCAGGCTGGAGTGCAGTGGTGTGATCTCGGCTGACTGCAACCTCCACCTCCTGGGTTCAAGTGATTCTTAGCCTCACGCTACCAAGTTGCTAGGATTACAGGCACCTGCCACCATGCCTGGAGAATTTTTGTATTTTTAATAGAGGTGGGGATTTCACCATGTTGGCCAGGCTGGTCTTGAACTCCTGACCTCAGGTGATCTGCTTGCGTCAGCCTCTCAAAGTGCTGGGATAACAGGCATGAGCCACTGCACCTGGCGTGAAAAACTTTAGTATGTTCAAAACAACTTAGGAATGTGAATCTGCTTTTTGCAACAGTAAATTTTGTAAAATCTAAATACAGATCAAGTGTTTCCGATGAAAATTTGGCACCTGAATTGGGACATGCTGTAGGTATAAAATACACACCAGATTTAAGACAATATTAAAAAAGGAAGTAAAATGTCTCATAATTTTTATGTTGATTACATGTTGAAACAACATTTTAGAAATATTGGGTTAAATAAATTGTTAAAGTTAATTTTATCTGTGTTTACTTTTAAAAATGAACTACTAGAATATTGACCAATGCACGTGGCATTTCTTTTGGACAGTTTTTACAGGACAGGTTATACTTTGTAAAGTGCAGTGAGGTTGGATTGGCACACTGGCTCTAGTTGATCATAGATGTTTGGGAGAGGAAAACTGTCACTTTTTAGGGAAGACATTTGTACTCTCATCAGACAAAACTTGCCCCAATTACCTTTGCTAATAGTGTTTCAAGAGAGTCAGAGGATGTGAGGTCTCTTAGAGTCTCTCTGGTTCTCAATGCTTCCAAAATTGCAATGTGCTATAGACACCATGGGTAAATGTACTGTGACATCTCCATCTGAATATACCTGGTATTCGTGCCTCCAGAGAGGGCATCTGTTTGGAGGTGAATGTCTCCATTCAATGAGCACCCCTGTTGGGTGGAGAGGTTTGAGCCATGCCCCTTCAGAGCTGTTGGCCTTGCCTATGTCTGGCTACCTTTAGCCTGACCACAGGTTTCCGGTGTATTCAGTTCTAGACAGGTAGTAGAGCTTGTTTTGCTCTTTCCACATGAATTCTTCAGAAGGAGGGTGTGTCAGTGGCAAGAGTTTTGAGTTTGAGGCCTTCTTAGTGCAAAACCCTCCTTTTCTGCATCTATAGGAGTAAACATGGAACTGGTGAGAATCACTTTCCCTGATCATCATGTAGTCAGTATGTGGTGACTGACCTGCTGTGATTGGAGAAGGTCCCTTCCCTGGACAGAATATGGTGAGTGCCGTGGCGTTATCAGGGAGGATCCACATCCCTGGCCACATGTGGTAAAGCTACTTGCAGTGACTGGGAAGGATCGTCACTCCCAGTCAGTGTGTGATTACTAACCTGGAGTGATCTGGGAGAACCATTGTATTTCTTTGCTTGGGCTGCCATAACCAATACCACAGAGTGGACAGCTTAAACAACAGAAATTTATTTTCTCACAGTTCTGGAGGCTAGAGTTCCTTGATCCAGATATCAGCAGGTCTCATTTCTTCAGACGCCTCTGCTTTCTTTGCAGATGGCCACCTTCTTGTTATGTCCTCACATGGTTGTCCCGTAGTCAGTGTTGTATGTGTCCTAGTTTCTTTTTATCAGGACACCAGTCATATTGGATCAGGGGCCACTAATACTACCTCATTTTACCTTGATGACCTCTTTAAAGGCCCTGTCACCACATGTGATCATACTCTGAGTTCCTGAGGGTTAGAATTTCAATGTATGAACTGGAAACAGACACAATTGAGCCCCTAACAACCACCATCCCTGGTTGGAATGTGTCATTCAAGGATGGTCAACTTAATGAACTGTGTGGTCAAAGGCAATTACCACAGAATGACCATCATGTCACCGGGAGATTTCCTACTCAAGGGAATGGGAGCAAGAACATGCATCTCTGACATGGTTATGAATGAGTTTAGGTAAATCAGGTGGTTGGAGGAATGTGTTGACTTCTGAATTTTCCTGCAAGGCCACAGATGTACTGTCTCCTCCTCAGCACCAGGAATTCCTTGTTACTTGAACCACAGTGCCTGAGACCAAGTAAGTGCAGTTGAATGTCCTTTGGACAGTGTGATAAATCCTAGTTAACGAATCTGACATCAGGCACAAGGGTTAACAATCTATGTAGGGTCATAAAAGAAACACAAACTATTAACCCTGCACCAAAGAATATGAGGCAGAGGTGATCAGGTTGGGAATAAAAAGTAGGAATCAGCAGAGTTCTGATTCCTGAAGAGGGTAACCTTCTTAAAGTCAGAAACTGATGAACAAGTGTGGATGAGGAGGATGGTGAAAACCTGGAGCTAAGGCAGAAGCAGGAAAATGCATCAGATGATAATACCTCTAGGAGGGTGGCTGGTTACAGCAGAGGTATTGTGACCAAAGATTGGCTTCAAGTGACAGAGAGAGAAAAGTCTGTGTCTAGGTGTGAAGTGATGTGGGACTTGATTGGTGACAGAGGGGAGGATGGGGTGAGTGCAAGAAGATTGCTAAAGGCTGGCAATTGACCAAATGCTGAAATTAAGGAGGTCCAAAGTTAAACACACAACCCCAAAACCTACCATACTGATGTAATGCTTTGACCCCCCCAAGAGGTTACTAGTTTTGGTACTGGTGCTGAGTCCTCTGGAATCCAACACCTATGTTCATGAAAGAAAAGATGGGAGCAGTCTCATTGCTTATAGATTCTTAGACCTCAGGAAAGTTAATTCCAGTGTGTGGGATTTTGTTTATTTCCATCCTAACTTTAGACTTCTTTAGTCAGCCCAATTGTTAGCAATAAGAAATTAGTTAGATGGAAGCAATGTTCTCCACTTGACAAGCTTTAGGGGCAAGACATTATTAAACTGGGAGGAGGAGTCAACGTAGGTAAAAACAAACAGACTTCATAAAAAGACTGTGATACATTCTATGCCTTTATCTTGGGGAAAATGCAGTAGGAAAAGGAAACAGCTAGGTTAACAGGAATTTGCTTGGCTTAGTGGGATAGAACATGAAAATCTCAACTTTATGTGTTAACTGAGTATTAAAAAGTCTTTTGAAATCAAGAGGACGCCGCTCCCAGTATCTTTTCCCAAGACTTTTCTGCAATTATCGTAAATGTCCTCTGAAAGCAATCCTAGGTTACATAACTAATCCCATATATGTATGTGTATATGTGTACCCTATATATATAAACTAGGATTATGTATCTAGGTAAAACCATTGTGTCTTGCACAGAACTTTAGCAATGGCGTCTAGATTCCGTAAATCCCCATCAGATGTCGACGCTCCGAGGAATCTCTGCCAAGTTGTAGCAAACTGGGTTCTCCACTTAGAAGGTAGGTTCAAGTCCTAAGAAAGATGCCAGGGAAAGGTCAGAAAATAGGTCTTTGGTAGTCACTGAAGTTTGGTAAGCAGGCAGCTGGGACGAATTTTGGGGCTTCTCCCTCACCGGTCTCCAGATGGTCACACCTCTAGGACTGACCTCTCTGAAGGTGGGAAGCAGTACACCCAACAGGAGTTCCAGCCCCGCGCGCCGCCCGGGCAGCGCCGCCCCCTCCGCCCCGCCCTCGCGGCCGCGCCGAGCGCCCCACCTGCGCCGCCGCACCGCCCCGCCCCGCCTCCGACCCGCCCGGTGCCGCACCCTCTCACCGCCGGGCCCCGCCCCGCACCCGAGCCCCGAGCCGGCGCCCCGCCCCGCCCCGCCCGTCACGTGACCAGCCCACCCTCCGCGCGCGCTCCGATTGGCTCTCCCGACCTAGGGGGAGGGATATGGCGAACGCAACTGCCCCAGACGCGGCTGCAGTTTTCAAACCTCAACTGTAAGCCTCGGTGGCCGTCTCCGCTGCCGTCGCCTGGAGTCACCTCACCGAGAGCCCCGTCACAACTGTCGGCCCTTGTCTGGAAAAGTAAAAGTGGGTCCTGCCACGCTTGGAGCTCCCTGGCGCCTCGCCGGGCTGGAGCTAGAGACCTCGTCCTGTGGCGGCCCCCGGCGTGGGGCGGGACAGCAGCCCCCCTCGGAGGGGGCAGCCCCGGGAAAACCTGAGGCGGCCGGAGCGGTCAGTGTCCTGCGGGATTGACGGGTGGGTTCGGGGCTGCGACGGAACCAGCCCCCTCGGTCAGAGACCTCGAGCATGAGGAAGAAGGACCCGAGAAGGGTTTAGGCGGTGCGGTCGGGTCCGGGGTCCCACCAGGTCCGCGGCTTGGTTGAGAGGGGCTCGTTCGCCGCCGCCCCCTCAGGTGGCGGATTGCTGCTGGAGTCGCGGTTCCCTGGGGCTCGGCGCGGGGGGCGGCCGGCGGTCCTCCCACCACTCTCCTCAGCCCGGGGCGCGTGTCTCCGTCTATGCGTGTTCGTGTGTCCGCGTGCGCCCTCCACCCGGCCGGCCCCGGCTGTCCCCGGGTCGCGCCAGGCAGGGCCCCCTTCGCGGCGGGCCGGCGCCGGTCCCTCCCACAGCGCGGCCACGCGGTCTCCCGAGCCTCTCCCGAGGCCCAGCTGCGGCGTGGGCACGGGGCGCGTTCCCATCGGGACTCGTGGAAGCGTCCTGCTACTAGCTGCCTTTCCTCTAGAGAAAGTTCGTGCTCATCTTGTGGGATGTTTTCAGCTACCGCTTGGGAACAGTGTTTTAAAAACCAGCGAGAGAGCAAGACAGGGTACAGCTGTTTCCGTGATTTTCAGCGATCTGATTTTTACTTTGTTGCTTTGTAACCCACTTAGTGTGCACGACTCATCCCCAAACTATACGACTACAGGATGCCAACGATTTTTGACATTTACCCAAGCTCTTTGTTTTATTGTAGGGAAAAGAGCTTCATTTGAATTCCGTCCGAGGGAGAAGTAGAGACAAAGTTGAAAGAGGCTTTATGGCAGCTGGTAGCTGGCATTAGTTTCTGTCTGGACTAGAAGCTCTCTGACATCAATTTGCAAATTGGAATTAAGAAAAAAAATACAGTTTTAAAACCAATCATACTGATCAGATTTGACTGATATTTAAACACATGAGGACTGTGTATCACATTCACCAGTTGTTTTGTCGATGTAATGTTTACATCACTGGTGCTAATAATGATAAGCTGAACCTTGCCAGGGACATTTGACGTGGTGTGGCCACTTGACGTTTTCAAGACTATGAGAATGTTTGCACGGAGACAGCATAGCCCTGTAGAAATGAGTGGCAGCATATGTAACCTTGCATTTTGAACCCAGGAGCACAATTTTATTAAAGGAAAATATAATTAACCTACTTTCTCATTGATAACACTGTTTTTTAGTTTTATGCCGAACTGTTTAGAAGAAGTTTTAAACAACTTCTGAAGTGCTTATTTTAACTATATTTTATTTTATTTTATTTTTATTATTATTTTTGAGACAGTCTGATTCTGTCACCAAGGCTAGAGCACAGTGGCGCGATCTCTGCTCACTGCAGCCTCCGCCTCACAGGTTCAAGTGATTCTCCTGCCTCGGCCTCCGGAGAAGCCGGGATTCCAGGCGCGCACCCCCAACCCACTCCCCCACCCCCGCCTTCTAATTTTTGTATTTTTAGTGGATGTGGGGTTTCGTCATGTTGGCTAGGCTGTTATCGAACTCCCGACCTCAGGTGATCCACCTGCCTCGGCCTCCCCAAGTGCTGGAATTACAGGCGTGAGCCACTGTGCCTGGCCTGAAGTGCTTATTTTATAAATATTAGACCGTATAATTGTAAGATTATGTATTTTTTTAAAACTGGTTTGTAGAAGCAGTGCAAAAGTTTTAGTCAGTCTCGTCTCTCGGATCCTCCTCTGAGCAGATGCTCAATTAATTTTTTTCTAATATCTTAATAATTGGTAGTATAAATAGGTGATTTATTTTTGAGATACATATTAGACATTTTGGATCATTTTTTAAAGTAGGGATCCAAAATTGAGGTTAAATATATTTGCTTACATGGCAAGCCTTTTTAAAAGTAGAATTTCTGTAATTGGAAACTGTCATTTTTTATGAGTGTATAGAATGGCTACAGTTTATCTTGGGATCATTGATTGGTTAGTGAATAACAATTTGGTTAAGATAGAATCTGTTTTTTAGGAAGGTGGAGCCTTGACTAATCACTGTGTTAGCATATGAATAACAAATTTGAAGAAGATACAGGCATTTTTATGGTGGATGTTTCTAATCAGATTATTTTTAAGCTTGCACTGTTTTACTGTTGTTAGGTGAACATTTTAACGTGTTAAAGCTCTTTGGTAATTATAAGGTAGAATTTCCTTATCAGAATATTTGTTTTAATATTAGAGACACAATTAAAAAATCAAGGAAATCAATTAACACTTTCACTTAATCCAGAAATTGTCTTAAAATTGCATGTGTAGTATATTGTAATTCTCATTTTCTGTATGTAAGATTGGCAGTTAAGAATAGTATTCCTAGATTTGCTACTTTTAGAAGATACTGATTGATTCTTATTTTTATAAAGAATTCTTTTGCACTGTATGGGTATTTGCTTTGTCAGGAACGTTAGCAGTCATTTACTACCTTTCCCCTTAGGAAAACTTCAAATGTCAGTTGCTTTAGTTTTTCATAATATGACAAAATTCAGTGATTTTATGTTTAAGTACTGTGGTTTGTATTCTATGATGGACTGTTATAAAAGGCTATTTCTTTGAATATTTCAATTAAGAAATGTTCCTACAAATTAAGTTACAAGCAGGTGTTTTATCTAAATATGTTGTAATTTTGCAGTTTTCAAGGCATACTTTATTGAAAGTTTTTTCTTGGCCCGGCGCAGTGGATCATGCCTCTAATCCCAGCACTTTGGGAGGCTGAGGCAGGTGGATCACGAAGTCAGGAGATCGAGACCATCCTGGCCAACATGGTGAAACCCCATCTCTCCTAAAAATACAAAAATTAGCCAGGTGCGGTGATGTGCGCCTGTAGTCTCAGCTACTCAGAAACTGAGGCAGGAGAGTCACTTGAACCTTGGAGGTGGAAGTTGCAGTGAGCCAAGATCACGCCACTGCAATTCAGCCTGGCAACAAAGCAAGACAATCTCAAAAAAAAAAAAAAAAAAAAAAAGAAGTTTTTTCTTTTATTATCTTTTTTCCAGAACATTTAACCTCAAACTTCAGGGCCATTTAAAACATGTAAATTAGTCAGTTTCTTTTAATATTTATATGCATTATATTTTGGTTCATCCCTGACCATTTGCAATTACTCCAAAAGAGCACGTATTTATACTCTAAGCATTGAAAATTTTTAACAGTGAGATGATAATTTCCTCTTTAATCCTTAAAGGATCAGATTTCATTTTGCATTGCAATAGTTATTGAACAAATAGTACCTAAGTGCCATTAAGTAAACAATAATTTATTTTACAACAGAAACCCAATTTTCCATCTTGTGAATGACAAGCACCATGCATGTTGCCAACTCCCCACTGCCCCCGACTATATTTCCATTTTTCAACATCTTATCCTGGTTCACAATTACAGGGTTTAATTCTTTCTCTGGGGATGGGAAGAGACAGCATTAGGCCTTAGGGTCTTGGCACAGAATAAGCCTAGAGTCATTGCCTGACACTTCAGCCCTGGGATAGTATATACTAGAATGGTTGGATTAGAGTTGTTTAGCTGACTTCCTGTTGTGATTTTTAGATAATTAAATTTATGAATTATATTTTCTGAATTTTGGTGGCTTTAAAAATAGTGATGTTCTTAACTGCAGTAGGTATTTGTAATAGTAGCTTGTATTAAAAACGAGTGGCCACCTTGTCTGAAAACAGGGATAAAAACAAAATAAACGATCTTTTGGCATTACATTATAGCATATGACAAAATAATTTTATCTGTGTTTCCAGGCTTTGTGGCTACCCTGTTTAGAACTGACATTTTCTAAGTGCAATTTAAAATAGCTACTTTATTTAGCCAAATATTGAATTAAGCAGAAACTAGCTGCAATCAGAGCTCCAATACTGTAAATTCAAGATGGATCTCAAGTTCTCCTAACCCCTTGAAGACATGAGATGTACCTACAAATTCTTTTCACTGTATCTCATAATTCTTACAATTCAGTTCGTCAACATTTTTAAAATTCTTACCAGGTGACAGATTCCATGGTGGTTGCTTAGGCGCAAAGGTAAAAGGATGCTGCCCTTTAAACACTAAACAGAATTGCAATCTAACATGTTACATTTTGAGGTAAAGAAGCATGCCAAGGGTCCTCTTATTTGAAGCATAAAGGAGAAGCATTTAAATCAACCCGTGGTTTTTAGGCAAAGCTTCCTGGGGGAGAGGCCATTCTGTATTGACTTATGAAGGATATATAAGAAGAGTTAGCCATTTAAGGAAAGTAGAAAGGCTTTTTCAGGCAGGGAAGTATAATAAAGATGTGGTGGCAAAATATGAAATATGAGTGTGGCAGGAAGTGTAGCTGGTGTATACTTGGCCTCAGAGGCCTTTACGTGTCATGCTGTGAGGACTTGAAAGCTTGTGGATACTAGGGAGCTAATGAAGGAATCAAAACAGACAATTTGATTCTCCAAATGTCTTTATTATTATATATTCTATTTTTAAAAAATTTTATTTGATAATTTTGAAATAAATATGATAAATACTTTTTAAAATAGAGCTAGAGGTTTATAGAGATTATCTTGGTTTTGATCACATCACACTTGCTTTCTCCATTCAAGTAAGTGAAGGCTCAGATCAATCCTAACATTTCCTTCTGTTCTTCCTTCACTGATCTACTTCTAAATTCTTATTTTAATTGTTGTAATGAGAATTAATGAAAAAAATTTAAAAATAAATGAGATGCCATTCTTTTTAATAGTACTGTGTAATTGAAAGCTTAATTGTGTCTTCTATCACACTTTTCATAGCATCTAATTGTGCCTATAATTACGTATATACATGCATACAAATTTACTTATCACATCCCTTAAGATTTTTTTAAAAACTTATATAACCTGATAAAATGTTATGAAATGGATTTCAAGTGGAGTGAGACATATTGGTAATTTAGAATCAGTTATAGGTAGATGAAGTGTGGTAGAAGACAAGAAAAGATCTGGGAATCGTTGGAGTTAAAGAGAATTTGGTGGGAAATTTAGGAAGATACAAGAAGGAGCAACAGAGAGCCGGCTGATAACCCCCATGTACCTTATATGAAGGGCAGCCAGATGTTTGTGGAGGGCTTGGCGGACAAAGGTGAAATTCATGCTCTATTATATGCAAAATTGGCCAAAGGAGAGGAAATGGAAAAGTATCTTGGCTCTGACAATTGGTTTAAATGCAGTAAATAAAAGGTAAATGAACTTAAATGCTTAATGGATGCCTACAGCAGCTTGTGATGTAGGTATATTAGCAATAAGTAGATGAACTTATGAGGAAATTGGTACCCACATTCATCTTTCAGAACAATGAAAAAATCAGTGCAACTGAGCATTATCAGAACTAAGAAAATACACGAATAGTTAAAACAGAAAACAAAAAGCTTTTTAAGAATTAACTTTAAGTTGGGATGAGAGTTTTATACGTGGAAATGGTGCAGTTATTCAACAGTGGCAGGGAACTGCAGAGAGAGTATTTTGGGTAGAATGGTTAATTTTGTTTTGTGGAACAATAACGATATGTCCTTGTGACTTGCACTGTATGTGTGTCAATGGACATGAGTTCAGTGTATCTTAATTTTTAATCCTTACAAGCACTGTAAGATTGATTCTTTTATCATCCATACTTTAGAGTCAGCAATACTGAAGCTTTATGTCACTAGTAAACAGGGAAATACAAAGTAAATCACAACAAAATTCCATTTCACCTTCATCACACTAGAATTGCCAAAATTAAAAGTCTGAGTTGGGCCAGTATTGTCAAAGTAGTGATAAACCATTCCATGTAGTGCTAGTGGGAGTATAAACCGGGGGTGGGAAAAAGGGGCTATGTCTAATGTGTTTTATTTATTTTTAATTTAAATGAAATGCAACCAAGTAATAAGACTGGGAAGTAAATGTTTGTATATAGTGTTCCTTGTCATATCTTTGAAATATTTCACGTTTTGTTTCTACATAACTGTATTGTCACAGATTCGGTGACTTAACAAGTATATTTTCTCAACAATTCTGGGGGCTAGAAATCTGAGATCAGGGTGTCTGGGGTTGGTTTCATCTGAGGCCTGCCTTCTTGGCTTGCAGATGGCTGTCTTCTCCCAGTGTGTTCACATAGTCTTTCCTCTGTGTGTGTCTGTGTCCCAATTGGCCCATTTTAATGACCTCATTTTAACTTAGTCACCTTTTTAAAGGCCCTGTCTCGAAAGACAGTCACATTATGAGGTATAGGGGTTAGGATTTTTTCAACTTGTGAATTTGGGGGAGGATGAAATTCAGCCCATAACAATAGCAAAGTTAAATAATTTAATTAAGGTATCATAGCTGGTATGATGGATGAATGGAATTCAGACCCAGGTATGTTTCAGTCTAAACATTATTCTCAGAATGCTACACTATGACCCTTAGACTCCTAGAGATGTATCCCCAAACTGGTTGAGCTTTGTTTCCCCAAAGACTAAGAGATGTAGAGAAAACAGTTGTACTATCTAGTTACTTGAAAGCTGTAATTTTAATTTAATTTTTTGAGACAAGGTCTCTATCTGTTACCCAGACTGAACTTCAGTGATGAATTCATAATTTGAGAATAACACCAAGAAGAGAAAATGTAGAAACTGAAAACACTGAACTTTAATGACACCACATTTTTGCTAAGTAAAATGTAGTTGACATTTGAATTTAGGAAGATAAAACAGTACATGTCAAGTAGGAAATAGGAAAAAAGGTGGCAGAGAAGGAACAGATGCTTAGTGGGTTACTACAGGAGGGTGCTAAAAGAATAATACTTGATATTTTATTAAGTAGGCATAGCAGTAAGTCATAAGTGTCTTGAAATATATTATCTGTTTTTGTTTATGAATCCAGTTAACATAATAGTTTTGATAACACTGAATGCACACAAATATCGCAGATTTCCAGATATATATATATGAGCTTCAGATCCATAACATTGTAATAGTGCTTTATGTGTGGGTTAGTCAATTCTCCAACAAAATTATTGAGCACTTACATAGCAGGCTCCGTGCTCGGTGCTGTCAAAGAAGGGATTCTTTTTTTTTTTTTGAGACGGAGTTTCGCTCTTGTTACCCAGGCTGGAGTGCAATGGCGTGATCTCAGCTCACCGCAAACCAGGAGGTCCTGCCTCAGCCTCCCTAAAGGAGGGATTCTTAAGACATTTGAGAGTTTCTGAGTTCAGTACTGAAACATAGCCAATCCATGGAAAAAGTTCTATTTCTTGTAGTCATTAACATCGTAATATAACTCACAATATGTGCATTTACCCCCAAATTTTTTTAGCAATGTGAAAATAAGTTTAAAATGAATAATCATTACCTTGTATTAAATTACCTATTATGTGAAACCTATAACTTTATTTATTTCTTTATTTATTTCTTGAGATAGGGTCTCACTCTATTGCCCAAGCTGAACTGCAATAGCACATTCATAGCTCACTGCAACCTCAACCTTCTGAGCTCACGCAATGCTCCTGCCTCAGCCTTCCAAGCAGCTAGGACTACAGGTGCAAGCCACTATACCCAGTTAATTTTTAAAGTTTTTCGTAGACATGGGGTCTCGCTGTGTTGCCAGGACTGGTCTCGAACTTCTGGCCTCAAGTGATCCTCCTGCCTCAGCCTCCCATAGTGTTGGGATTACAGGCATGCACCACCATGCCTAGCTGCAACCTCTATAACTTTAAAGAATGGAGTTTTACGATGAAACTAAGTGATTGTTTGTGTTATAATTTTATCATAACTATTTTTTTAAAAATAATTGAGAGGATTTTTACAGTAGTTTTATTCTGAAATGAGGTCAGTAACTTCTTTCAAATGCCATAGAATACTGGTTTATGTGTGTGCTTGTTTTTTTTTCTCCTCCTTGTGGGTAGAATGTGCTCTTTAACTCTTCTTTTTTTTTCTTAGTTGTATTTTATAGCTATATTTGGAGTTGTGTAATGCAATGCACATCCTGCCTGAGATAACATCTTTTCTCTGTCTTCTCTTTTTTTTTTGCATAGGTAAAAATAAGTGACTAAAGAAGCATACCTGGGAATCACCTAACATGTCGAGGAGGAGATTTGATTGCCGAAGTATTTCAGGCCTGCTAACCACAACTCCTCAAACTCCAATGAAAATGGAAAACTTTAATAATTTCTATATACTTACATCTAAAGAGCTAGGGAGGTAAGAAAACTGTATGATGTGTATGCTGTCTAAATTCGAATTTTGGATTTGTGTTTTTATAATTCTATAAAACTCACTTGGAATCATTATTTAACAATGATTAGGAAGGAAAGTCATCATCTCTGTTGCTATTACATAGGGTCTAGTCTTAACTGACTGAAAATCAAATCTGTGAAGGGTTTAGTGAACTTACATCACATCCTACCTAGCTTCAGAGCCTCCAATAAGAGGTCTCTGTCCTTATGTGAGGCTGTGCGTGGCAGTAGGCAGCTCGGCATAGTGGACTGCCGAGTCCAAGTCTGGATTCCACATTTGCTAGATGTGTGACTTCAACTAAATAACTGTACCTCTTTTTTTAATTTATATTTGTGGCAGGGTCTTACTTGGTTGCCTAAGCTGGAGTACAGTGAGGTGATCTTGGCTCACTGCAAACTCCCATCTCCTGGGCTCAAGGGTTTCTCCCACCTCAGCCTCCTAAGTAGCTGGGACTTCAGGCACTTACCACCACACTAGGCTGGTTTTTTGTAGAGACAGGGTTTTGCCATGTTGCTTAGGCTGGTCTCCAACTCCTGGGTTCAAGCAGTCTTCTGGCTTTGGCCTCCCAAAGTGCTGAGATAATAGGTGTGAGCCCCTGTGCCCTGCCTACTGTACCTCTTAATGCTGTAGTTTCCTCATCTGAAAAGTAGGGGTGAAGATAATTGTGTCTATCTTATATGGTTGTTATGAGGATTAAGTTAGTTAATATTTGTAAAGTGCCTAATACAGTGCTATGTAAGCTTTTGTTAAATTATTTTTTTTTTTTAATTTCTAGGATATTGTGCTGGACTTAAAAAAAAAAAAAAAGAAATAGGGAGATTCTCCCCTTCTCCTAAGTTGAACAAAAAGAAGGAATTTATATTTCATAGTCTGATTATGTGTCTCAATGAGTGGTGTTTTATGATTAAAAACCTTTACAAATTGTCTTCCCTTAACCAATGTATAAACCCTATACGGGCAAGGAGTGAGCTGATATTATGAAACCATTATGTACTAGCATTTTAATATGCATAAAGTTATAAAAGATATACCAAGTTATTTCAGTTATATATTCAGTGTCTTTTGAGCTTTAAATTAAAGGTCCTTAATGAATGGTTAAACGATGGTGTATCTTCAGTTTGATTTTAGTTCTGGAGGTAAATGTTTTGTCTTATGTTAAATGGTTTACTAAGTCCATGTTTGTATTGTTAAATGTTCAAAACAGTGTGATTGATTTTTATCTTTGAAAATCTCAATGTGAAAAGACAAGTTGACTGAATCATGAGAAGTAATTCCATTCTTGGTGGTCTTTTATCTTAAGGGTAGAGGCAGGCCCTGGCTTTTTCACTTTGCACACGTTAGATGCAGCCTTTCTTTTCCAAAATAAGAATGATAATATGTACCTCATTGACTAAGAATACTAATTTAATGTGCAAAATATTTGGGTGTTTTAATGGTGTATTCAAAGATACAGTTTTTAAAATGTTTTTAAGAAATTGTCCCAAATCTTAATTACTTCACTTTGCATTATAATAGGAAGAAGTAAAGTTTTGTTTTGTTTTTTTGTTTCCTGTATCTCAGTTAATCATGGAATCTCTGCATTGGAAAGACTTCTGTGGTCCGTGGTGTTCCTAATACAATATTTTTATGTAGTGCAGCAATCTTTCCCATAATGTCCCCTACAAACTGTTATCCAGCCTCAGTTTGAATGCTTCAGTGATGGGGAAATGAATATTTTGCAAAGTCTTGAACAGTACACACAATAAAAGGCACTTTCTTTTCTATTTTTCTAATATTTGATGAGCAAATTTACTTACATTTATTACATTAACTTTTCAAAATCTGGGACATTATGGGAGCTAAAAAGTCTATAAAGTATTTTTGTTTTGAGGGCTTTGGACAATTTAAACTTTGAGGACAATATTAATAGTTTTAAATTGTTTTATAAATGAGGTACAGTCATAAAGTTGAATTAGGCATACTTTTTAGAATTTTAGATCAAAAACTCAGGATAGAATTTGATTAAGACAAATTCAGATTGATTGTTAAATTCCTATTTTAAAATATCTTTATGAAAGAGACCAAGTAACATCTTTCTTTTGAATTGATGTGGACTAATGAGTCACATGGTAAATATTAATATGTTTAATTAGGTCTTGATAAATTAGAAATCATGACTTTTCATCAGCCAGGAATGTACTGAAAGTTCTTTCAATATTGTTACCAATTTTAATATCCTATACTTTTGTGAAATGGAAATTAGAATCATAATCTTATTTCTTCTGAGGCTTGCACATTTTGAAAGTTCTTTCTAAGTCAACTGTTTTTTATTTCAGTGTTAGTATTTAATTCATTTTCCTTAGCAAACTAAAGGAAATTATGTAAAAGTTAACAGTTCATTTTTTAGTATTCTCAAAAAACTTGCATTGTTCCTGTTTTTTAACATGTTGGGTAAGTTTTTTCTACCCTTCCCCCAACTGAGGCAAAGGTTTCATAGGACTTCTTGTGGTTAGAAGGGTGAGGCAGATTCAGAAATAAACGTCAGCTTCCTTTGTGGCTTACCCTCCCGCCTCCTTTCACATTTTATTGTGTATTCTAGAATGCAGAAGGGGAATGCAGAAGGGTAACTACTAGACCTTTTCACTGCTGGGAAATCTAGTTAGCCTTGGCTTTTTAGGGGATAACTTAAGGATTATTTTTAAATGCTTTAACTTTTCTTAAATGTTTTAATTACATTGAAACATATTTCAAAGATCATTTTTTATACTTCCAAACTAGCATGTAGAATGGAAAACAAATTTTTTTTTCTAAGTCATCTGATAATTGTGGAAAAAATATTTACCTTCATAGTATGTAAATTAATACACACACACACACACACACACACACACACACACACACACACATAATTTTATTGGAATCCCAAACTTTTAAGAAATACAAACACTTTAAGTACAGGATACAGAAGAGCACAGTATAAAGTATTATAGTGGGTGCATAAGTCTGGCATTCGTTCAACAGATATTTCAGTTCCTATTATGTGTTAACAAATTGTAGATTTTGTAATTACTATAATAATTAGGACAGACATGGCCCCTGCCCTCATGGAGCTTTTACTTAGTGATAAACAGTGATGAATAAATAAATCATTACCCACCTTATTTGGTCAGCTTCGCCCTGGATTAATTAGTACTGTACTCGTTCAAGAAAGCCTCTTGGGCCAGGCGCAGTAGCTCATGCCTGAAAAATTTCAACACTTTGGGAGGTTGAGGCAGGAGAATCAGTTGAGCCCAAGAGTTTGAAAGCAGCCTGGGCAACATAGGGAGGCATTCTCTGAACAAATTATGTAAAAGATTAGCCAGGAGTGGCGGTGCATGCCTGCAGTCTCAACTACATGGGAGGCTGAAGATGATCGTCTGAGCCTTGGAGGTTAAGGCTGCAGGGAGCTGAGATCCTGCCATTGCACTCCAGCCTGGGTGATAGAGTTGAGACCCTGTCTCAAAAAACAAAAAACGAAAAACAAAAACAAAAACAAAAAAGGCCTCTTGGTAATACCTGAAACAATTAGATAAGAAGTGTTATTTAATTTTGTTCTTTATTTCTGGTAGAATTCTGGCTTGTAGATATAAATCGTAAAATTATAGCAGAACTGAATTGTCACAAGTGCTACTAAGAACTATTTTTTTTAGATGCACAGTTTTCTTGGCTAACTAGTTTCTGTTTCTTAAATTTTACAAGTGAATTTCTTTATAAAACCCAAAATTTTCTTCCTGTTTTAGACAAGTTTTTGCTTCAATATCTAAGTAAGAACTGATAGAAACAAGTGAGTTATACTTCTTTACCAAAACTATTTTAAAGGGAGGAATTGTTTTATAGTGATTAGAACAGAAAGTTAGAAATTCACATTTCAGAGTTTTATTTTTGGTGCTCCGATTCTATGTATATGACCTTTTATGAGCTGTTTAATCTTATTCTGACTCAGTTTATCCAGTATACAATTTATGAAACACCAATGGTTTGACTATAAAGGGACTAACGTGTGTGTGTGTGTGTGTGTGTGTGTGTGTGTGTGTGTGTGTTTGTATTCCTTTTGCATACAATGAGAAAATATTTTAAACATTCTCAAATCTTAAAACTGCTTTCAAAGAATCAGGTTTTTATATGCAAATTTATTTAGTTTATGTATTAATATATTTAGATAAATGTAGAAAAGTCAAGTTATAGCTTGGTTTTTACTACTTTTTATTGGCACTAATTTTGAGGAAATTTTATTAATAAAAAGTAAGAATCTGTCATCTTGGCCTTTGGGGATAGCTAGGAAAATACAGTCAAGCAATGTAGTCTTTCAGTCCCCACCCAGTACCACCTAAACACCAAGTTTTGTTTTCCATCCTAAGTCTGATAGACTGTGTTAGAAATATATTGAAGGGAATTGGGACAAGAGGAGTTACGGAGCAAATGTTGCTTCCTGAAGATCCTTTATTTATACCTGATTTGTTAGCGTCAGAAACCAGAGAGTAATTCAAATTTTAAGGTAGAGGTTCTTAATTTTGGATCCCCTATACTCAGCCTTACAAGGTTTATGAGTGGGCTTCAAGATCTGAAAACCTTCTGGAATTATATGTAAAACTTCCTATTTAAGGGCTTGTGTACTTTTTTTGGGGGAGGCAGTCAATAGAATAGCTTTTATTAGTTTCCCAAAATAATCCTTGACTCACAATAGCTTTAGGACTTTGTGAAAATAAATTTTGGGTAACTGTACATACATATGCCAATAGAAATAAAGTTTCAGTGTCTTTACATTTTGGCAGAGGTACTAAGCACTGCTATTTGAAAGAGCTAAAAGCATACTTATTTCTAAAATGATAAACATGACCTTAACGGGTGTGTTTGTATATAGCTGTTGATAACCACTGATTTTCTTAGTTTATCAAGTGTCTTTGAATATTTTCTGTAGGACACATATTCCTTCATTATCTGTTATAGACTTCAAAGACTACTGAGCATTACTAAGAGACATTGGTAAAAAGTCAAATACCCATTTTTGCATTCATTTTTATTTCTTTTATTTGAAGGTAAGCTATTCTAATTAGAGTGTTAATGTGATACCCTGTGAAGGGTACAGTTTTTGGAAATAGGTCTAAGTTTAAATCTTTACCTTGACTAAATTATGTATCTTCTCTGAGGTCTAAAGAACAGGATAGCATTTGTTATGTGGAATTGTTATGATACTTAATAATTTATATCAAGAGCATGGCATGGAGTTGGTATGCAAATGAGATTATTTCCCTGCAATGATAATGTAGAGAAATAATTTTAATTTGAGACAATCTCACTCTGTCACCCAGGCTGGAGTGCAGTGGCATGATCTTGGTTCACTGCAACTTCTGCCTCCTGAATTCAGACGGTTTTCCTGCCTAAGCCTCCTGCAAATTCTGCGTAGCTGGAATTACAGGCATGCACTACAATGCCCAGCTAATTTTTATATTTTTAACAGAGATGGGGTTTCACCATGTTGGCCAGGTTGGTCTTGAACTCCTGACCTCGTGATCCCACCTGCCTTGGCCTCCCAAAATACTGGGATTACAGGCGTGAGCCACTGCGCCCGGCTGATTTACTTTTTATAGAGAATAAATAGCTTGACTTTTGTTTTCTACTGGTCAGTGGTCTTTATCTTTTCAAAGAGAAGTTTGAAAGCGATCCACCTGCCTTGGCCTCCCAAGATAATGTATCATTTTAATAGTAAAGAATAAATACAATTGTGTCTTATCCTGTTGTTATAGTTTCCCGTTTACATTTGTAAGTGATAGCACTATAAATTTTGTAAAAGTACATATATTTGATTCAATTTAGAGAACAAAGATAAATTCCTAACGGCACAAATATTTTAAATAATTGACTTTTAGTAGGAGATATAACAGTAACTGTAATATACTAACGTTGTTCTCTATGGAAAAGTTAAAATTCATTGTCTTCATCTTCCCCCAGAGGAAAATTTGCTGTGGTTAGACAATGTATATCAAAATCTACTGGCCAAGAGTATGCTGCAAAATTTCTAAAAAAGAGAAGAAGAGGACAGGATTGTCGAGCAGAGATTTTACACGAGATTGCTGTGCTTGAATTGGCAAAGTCCTGTCCCCGTGTTATTAATCTTCATGAGGTCTATGAAAATACAAGTGAAATCATTTTGATATTGGAATAGTAAGTATATACTTAATGGTACCTATTTTAATTGCTATGATTAGATGATTGAAATGTCAAGAATATGAATGATAAAAGTATGACAAACACTTGTAAAGATTCCTGTTCATAAAATGTAAAAGGATCCTAGTTTATATTTGAATATTTTCATAAGGCTAAATGTACAGCCTCAGGCACATACATAAAAACTAACAACACAAAATAAATGACAAACACATTTGGGGAATATGGAAAAATGAGTATACTACTTTGTTAATGGCTCATTGATTAATTTTTCTGGAACTCAATCTGATGGGCAGATAGAATTGAAGTAATTTGTATATTTTCTTCATCTATTTGAAAACTACTTTCAAGAAAATAAGGAAAGGTAAACTGCATAAAACTATGCTTAATACATTGTTTGTTAAAGAAATACATTTAGTATGTGTAATGTGTAAAACACTATGTTAGGAGTTGCAGCAATAAGAAATAAATCTATCTCTTGCCACAAGTCTATGAAAAAGTGAAAACACATAAATATTCCACAGTTTACCAGGTGGTAGGGATAGAGAATTGTTAAGGTAACTGGTTTGTTAGACATGTGACTCTTACAGAGTGCTTTTGTCACATGATTGTCTGACACATTTATTACAGGTATGTAAAATGTGTTGAACGTTTGCAACATTCAGAAGAGATCAGCTAGATTTATGATTAGTATGCCTAAGGTGACAACAGTTTTTAATAAAGTAAATCTGTTTTTGGTAAACTATGAGGAGGTATTTATTTTAGTAAAAAATATATTGCTAACTATAGTAATTATTTTTAGTAACTAATTTGCATCATTGCCTTTTTAAATTTAAAGGTATATTAACCTTATTTTTGTATTTAGTTACTTTAAAATTAATGTTTTTGTTCCACAAAATAGATCGGCTGGAATCAACTTGTGAGTGAAAATGATGATTTTGCAAAATGTTAAAACTGACAAGTAGTTTGTTTAAGAATGAATACTATGTATATTTCTCAGAACCATATGAAGGCGTGTTATGTAGGACTTTCAAAATAAATTAGAATTGCAGAAAAGGCCAAGATACTACCAGTATGATTTCATTTTTCATATATCCTGTAATTATTTTTGTCAAAGATTCTTCAGCTGACCTTTAAAAAGTTACCTACTTGCATAACATCTGCATGTTTGAAGTATGTAAAAAGTAGCTAACATTTATCGAAAACAGTAGTGGAATACTAGGTTTGGAGGATGAATATACATAAGAACATTGACTACTTTCATGAAATCCTCTTTTGGGGGTTCATCCAAACAGCAACAACAAAATACATCGGAAAGACTTGAGACATTTTATGGATGGACCTTGTTCATACTCCGGAAAATTGACTCAGGTACCTTACCCAGTAACTGGCAGAACTTACTGATCTCTATACCTCTGGCTGAAATGGAGCAAGTACTCAGGAAATGTTTAAATAGATTAATGTGTTAAATTTCTTACCAGAGTGACTAAGAACCACTAACATTTGTTGCTAAGACTTTGGCTTAATTACTATGCCTACCACTTTTGGGGTGGCATTGTCACATTTAGTAGTCTCAGTTGAAGATAAAAATTTAATCAGGGAGGTTTAGTTGTTTTAGTAGTGTGGCATAATTTTTATATGGTGGAATCTTTAATAACTATCACCTAGTCAATTCTGTCCTCACATCATCCCACACACTTTTTCTTCCCCAACTCTTATTTTACAAAATTTCAAATCTACAGAAAAGTTGAAAAAATAGTACATTTAACATCCTTATCCTCCTCACTTGTATTCACCAATTGTTGGCATTTTGCCACCTATACTGAACAGTTTGAAAGTTGTAGGTATTATGATATTTCTTTTTATCCTGAAGTATTTATTTGGTGTGCGTGATGCATATTTATTGTTATCACATCAGGTGGCAATAAAGTCAGGTTGTTTTATTACTGGTTTTGCTAAATTTGAACATGCTTAAGGTGCAGTCTTCTAGCTCTCCTCATCGTAAAGGAACGTTTTCCCTTTTTAATTAATCTATGTAATGATATTTAGAGACCATATGAATATTATCTTAACAACTTTTTATCTTATGATTTCCCTTCCCCCTTTTTAATGTTTCTAAGGATTTCGTGTTTTTTTGTTTTTTAATTAAACTAACACATGACATTAATGGAAAATAACTCATTATGTTTTAATTAATGGGTTCTAATCAGTTTCTGCCACATTTTTTTTTCATGCTCAAATTCTCCCAAGTTTATCAGTGGTTCCCTTTCAGGCTACTTCCTATGTCCTTTTGATATAATCTTATTAGTGTTTAAGTACTTCCTTGCCTTATGCACTCTAAGATTTCCAGAGTCATCTTGTTATCTTCCCAGACCCAGACCTGTAATCAGCTATCTAAGAAGTTCTGCTTCTTTTAAATGGGGAATAGCATTTAGAAACCAAATATGGATGTTGGACATGCTGATTTTTAACAAAGTATCATTATTTTTAGGCCTTTTCTAAGGATAGTGTTAGGAAATCATTTTTTCCAAAATCATTAATTTATTCTCATAGCTCCAATTCAAGCCCACCACTACAAGGTTCTTCATCACTTCTCACATTCTATATGTGCGTCTCCCCTGACTCACAGTGAAAACTCGGGTTCTCAGCAGTTCTTGCTCATTTACTTTATCCAACGATATATACGAGATGGTTTCAGCATAATAATACTGATACCACTACCAACAGCAAACTACTACTTAGTACACCTTTTTTTTTTGATATTGTTTTTATACCTAGACTATCGCCCATTAATGATATCTAGTCAGAGTTTTTTATATATATATAGTTTGATATATATAGTTAGATATATTTGTTTATATTCAGTGTTAGGATTTGATTTTTTAAATTCTTGTTTTGAAATTCTTAAAAAGGTTTGCATGATTCAAAACTCATAAAAATGTGGCCAGTCATAGTAGCTCATGCCTGTAACCCTAGCAATTTGGGAGGCTGAGGTGGGAGGATCACTGGAATCCAGGGGTTCAAGACCAGCCTAGACAACAAACTGAGACCCCCGTCTCCATACATTACAAAAGTTAAAAAAAAATTTAACAAAAAAATGTATAAAAAATTGTATCCCCAGTACTCCAAAATCTTGCTCTCATTCCTATTCCTTCTACTCTCTTCTGACCCAATGAATACATGTGGTTACCTTTATGGGTAGCCATTCTTTGTTATCTATAAGAAAGGCTCATTCTTTATGTGTTTCTTGCAAATATAAGCAAACTTGTATATATTTACTCTTACTTACAGAAAAGGTATATTATGTACTTCTTTGCACCTTGTTGTTTTTGTTTACTTAACAATATATTCCAGAAATCATTCCACATTAGTTCATAGGCATCTTTCTTACTATTATTATGGCTGGTTTCTTACATGGCTGCATAGTACTCTGTTGTGTGGTTGGATCTTGCTTTAGTCAGTCGACCTTCTATGAATGGGCATTATTAATGGAGATGTAGCTTTAGAGTAAATTCCTAGAAGAATGATTGCTGGTCAAAGAGTAAATGCATATGTAGTTGTAACTTCTGGAACAGTTATAGCTTCTTTTTGGTTTTGTGTTTCGCTTTGCCTCTACCTAACCTATTTTTTGAATCAGATTGTTTACTTTTGTGAATTAATCTTAAATTCTTGCAACCTGCTTGTCACTTTTAACAATTACTAAAATCGTTCATTTTATTTTAATACGTAGTTCATAGGAAATTATTTCATTGCCAGTTATAAAGTCTACATGATTTTTTTAGCCCTTTATTTCCTTGGAAAGTAATATAAATCTTTACTTTTCTGGATGGTAGTATTAGATCTTTTTATACATATGGAGGAAAATTTGAGGATAATTGAGTCATTGCATCACCACTGTCCGTGAGACAAAGACTTTTCCACACCAAGTGTCTTTAAAGCATATTTGGAGAATTAAATAAAATATAGCAATACATTTTAAAAACCTTTTTAAAAAACTTCTGGAAGGAAGGTATTATCTAATTGGACATACTAAGTTTTTAATGCTGCATTTTGAGCAAACTAAAGTTGGTTATAAAGAACACTTACCTTTTGGAGAACACAGGACAGAAGCTTTGTCCTAGAAACAGTGAAGATCAAAAGGGGAACTTATATCCATCAGAGACAACTCTGAGATTATGTGAGAATGCTATTTTCTTTTTGTCAAGAAAGTTTGTCTACTAAGTAAATACTACAGACCCAACAGAAAAGGTTGGAGACTGTAACAAAACATGCGAAATAGAAAACCTTACCTTCTGGGATGATCTCAGTCACCAGAGAAATACATTTAATATGATCTTAACAATTTCAACCATAACGTGTGTTGGACATTGACTGTCTGGCAGGCACTATGATCGGCACATTATCTGTACTGTCATTTAATTTTTAAAACAATCCTCCAAAAGGAGAGATTTCTATTTACATCTTGTATCTAGTTAATACTCAGTCTTCCCATTCTAAAATCCTGTTGATTTTGTTTCTTCCGTTAGCATAGGAATATAATTTTAAAGAGCTCTAAATATACAAATTTTAAAACAAGTTTATTTTAATCACTAGAAATAAATGCTTATTTTAAAAATCTTTATCATGGCTTTTCAAATCTATATGACTAGATTTGCATTTTTTATGGATAATTGAGATATTACTTTGTTTTACTGAAAATCTTGGCTTTCTATAACACAAAAATCTATCATTTTTGATAGGAAAATACTCTGATTTTAATCTTTCATATATTTATGTTATAGGAGTCTTTCTAAAAGATTTTTTCTACTTGCTGTTCCTTATAAAAGGCAGATGTTGATCTAGATAATATATAGCACATAGGTTTTTATGACTGTGTAACCTGTGCTAAAGTGCTGATATCACATACAGTCACACGTAACAAATGTACACATGCATTAACAAGCGAACGCAGATGCTGAATTTCTAATTTTTTTTTATATCCCTGCAAGGGGCAAACTCTTTTTAGAGAGAGAGGGTAGAAGTCAGCTGAATGTAACTCCCAGGTCAATGATAATGATATAGGTGGCTTTTCTGACTGTAGATTGTCAAGCTAAAAGGAAGAGACAGTGTGATTGGCTGACAATCATAGTATATTATTTGATCTTATTATTAAACAAGCAAAAAACTCTGAAGATACTTTCTCTGGTTATAAAAATAATACCTATTCATTGTGTTAAATTTAGAAGACAGAGAAAAGAGAAATCACATGTAAATGATGGTTACTTTATGGTATATTCCTGTGTTTAAAAATTATTCTTATTTTTTGGTGTGTCCATATATACTTTTAGAGAAAGAATTTTGATCTACTGGGCATATTCTATTGTAACCCTCTTTTCACTTAAGAATATAGTGTGTACATCTTTATGTGTACCATATAGTGTTTCTAAAAATAGATTATAATTTAGCAAAGACTTTAAAAATTTCCTTCAAAATCAGTTTAACCAAGTCTCAAAATTCGGAAAGGCAAGATGTTGGCTAGATTTGCAATCAGTGTTTGTTGGCTCATTATAATAATAGCTGATATTAACTGAATATTTACCATGTGTCAGATACTGTGATAAATATTTATTGAAATGATCTGCTTTGATTCTTCTAGGATCTGTTCTGCTCAATACTTTATAAGGATTATCCAGTTTAATTCTTAGACCAGTGAAGTAGGAGCTATTATTAATATTATTCACATTACAGTAGAAGAAACAGAGGCATATTTTGTCCCAGTTCACCTAGCCTAGTTAATGACAGAGCTAGACTGAAACCCAGGCAGTCTTTATTTCAGTATACTCCTATATGCACCATGCTATCCTGTCTCTTCCCAGGCACTGGAAATTGCTTTTCATACTTTCACTTTACTTTCTTGTATTTTGTTTTGAATTTTAGAATTGGTAGAGTGTTCTGGTTATTGAAGTAAACTTTAGTGAATTTGTAGTATAAAATATTGGTAAAAAAAATCGTAAAGTATTCAAGAATGAATTTGTTACCTAAACTATGCTGTTGTACATATGAAGAATACACATCTATTTTTATGTATATTTAGGGGATCTAAATATTTAAATTCATATTTTATACAGTTTTCTAATAATTTCAAGTTATTTGGCCTGATTTTTATAAGATAGGACTAGATTATTAGTATTTATATCTTGTAAAGTACCTAACAAAGAATATATTCTAAGAGAATCTAAAGTGTACTCTCTTCATTTTCTTATTTGCTTATGATTGCATTAGTAATATTACTTAATGTATTATTTGTAATATTATTTTGAGTGTCTTTGCAGGAATGTATTTAGATCAGTTTCTATTTTGAGAGGATTTGTATCATCAAAACTAAACAATGTAACCAGAAAGGGAAGGAGTGATGATGTCATTGCCAGTCTGTGCCTTGGTTCCCACTCTGCCCTCAAGAGATCTTGAGAATGGGTGTGAAAAATGAATACTGACATGCAGACCAAGGGCTCCTAGGCAGTTTGTATATTAATTATTCTTGAAGATTAATGTATTTCTTTTTTAAATTAAAAAAAATAATGTGAATTCCCAAAATTGTTATTTTGGAGTTCACTACTACAAATTTAATAGCAAACTCCACTTTTCAATACTCAGATTATCATGTTATGTTGAGGCAGATGTTAAAATTAATGTCTCATGAATTTACAGGGAGTTTTGGTGGGTAGAATGGGGTTAAAGTGACATATACATAATTGGAGCTTTCGCATGTATTTCTTATAAGCTGTCCTATAGCGTTTTTTTCTGCAAAGTCAGAAAGTGTACAGCAGCAAATCTTTGTGGCTTCTGACTGGCTCACTACGTTCAGATGGCTCAATTGCAAGTTATATCTGCAGTGTGAAGTGTCATTCCTTGTGACTCTCAACTTGGGATTCAAATTTGAGCCCACCATTATTTTTTCTTCTTATGGCTCATAAAACTTATGACATATTTCTTCCTCTTGGTAGTCACTGAGACTTCCGAATCCCCCAGTTTCAACCCCTCTAAAGAATCACTGCCCAGTCCATCATTAATTCATTCAACAAACATTACTGATCACCTACTACAGTACATGCTAGATACTGTTCTTGATGTGGTTGTAGCAGTGAGCCAAAGAAGTAAAAATACAGTAATAGTGTTTTCTAGAGTGAGTTCCTGTTTTGTCACATAGAATATACTTGCATATTCCCAAACATACCTTACAAATTTGATGAATAACTGTATAAATGTTTTTGCAATGATGTTCTGACTGACAAATTTTATCTTACTTAGATTTAATCACCCCCCCCCCAAAAAAGCGTTGATTTTCATGATATTTCTGCTTTATAGGTGACTATAAGTAACTGATTCTAAGTTATATTGCAGGTAAATAGCAGAGTTAGGTTTTAGGTTCCAATGATTTATTACAAACCTAGGAATTTTTCACTGTGCCATTTTCAGCGTTTTTTAAATTTTAATTCTTTAGAATTTATTTATTTATTTTGGTTCTGGCCCCAAGCATTCTGGATGAAGCTACAATACAGGATGGTGTTGGCTAAGAATGCAGATTCTTACTCATATTATGTAGCTTCACATTTTGGCCATCTGTTTACTGTGTGACCTTTTACAAGTTTCTTAACCTAATTGTACTTGTTTCTTCTGTAAAATGGGTGTAATAACCATGTACCTCCCATGTTTGTCATGAAGCTCAAAATAGATTATATATATATATATATATATATATATATATATATGTGTATCATATATATGAATTGATGTATATATGAATGATACATATATAAATTGATATATATGAATATCATCTATTTTGAGCCTCATGACAAAACAGAGTATGAATTGATATATGTGTATATATATGAAGAAAGCACAAAGAGCTACTGTTTTTATTATCTTTATTGCAGTGAAGGCAGGCTGCAACATTATTGGATCATAAAGCAATTCAGTTTTATTTATTAATATTCAAGTATTAGTACCAGAATTTGAAATAGTCTCATCACTTCTTTTCTTTTTCTTTTTCTTTTTATTATTTATTTATTTATTTATTTATTTGAGATGGAGTCTTGCCCTGTAGCTCAGGCTGGAGTGCAGTGCTGTGATCTTGGCTCACTACAACCTTCGCCTCCCAGGTTCAAGTGATTCTCCTGCCTCAGCTTCTGGAGTAGCTGAGAGTACAGGCACCTGCCACCATGCCTGGCTAATTTTTGTATTTTTAGTAGAAATGGGGTTTCACCATGTTGGCCAGGCTGGTCTCCAACTCCCGACCTTCAGTGATCCGCCTGTCTCAGCCTCCCATGGTGCTAGGATTACAGGCATGAGCCACCGCGCCCGGCCATCAACACTTATTTTTTTCCTTAAAGATCTCTCACTTCCCTGCCCTGTCTTTAAGTGTATGTATTAACATTTATATAGTTCTATGTCTTTTACTTAACAGGTAAACAATATTTAAAAGTTTTTAGGTGAATGAATTTTCAAGTCTCTGTTCTTTGAATTTTATTTTAGTGCTGCAGGTGGAGAAATTTTCAACCTGTGTTTACCTGAGTTGGCTGAAATGATTTCTGAAAACGATGTTATCAGACTCATTAAACAAATACTTGAAGGGGTTTATTATCTACATCAGAATAACATCGTACACCTTGATTTAAAGGTAACGTAACGTGATTTAAAGTAATACAACATCTGTCTTCTTCTGCTGCTCTTTGTACGTACAATTGCAGACTAGTATTAACAGGAAACAATGGTCAATCCTGGTTGTCTAGACCGCACTGGTGTACTCTTTATTTAACTGCGTGCTATGTGGCCTTAATTTTATATTGGCAGAAAGGAGGAGACTACATGTGTGAGTAGCTCAAATTAATCACTGGGCTCTTAAAATGTATCATTGCTGTGTTCTAATCCTACATTAGATGGAATTGTTCCATTCCATCCCAGTCTTACAACCATATCCTGGACCTTCTTATTTTATAAGGCTGTCTATCTCTGAAATGCTTAATTATGTAATCTCCATCTCTGAAAATAACTCCTGCTAATCCTCATTCATTTGCTCCCATTACCTTCGTTCATTTTTGTCTTGAGGCTTTCAGTCTTTTGGCTCCTTCCAGATCATTCCAACTCTTTGCCCAAGCCCCAAACCTCCAGTCTCTTGTCTCCATCTCTCATGTTCTTATTCTTTCTCTTTATCCTTCCTTCATAGCCACACAAGGACCTTAAGATCCAAATCACTCTGACTCTTATTTTGCAAGAATTAGATTCTTTTATTTTTATGTGGTCTCCTTGCATGATCCTTTGGCTTCTACTACCACTTTAATGATAATAATAATTCCAAAATCTCCACCTATAGCCCAGGCCTCTCCCTTAACTTCCAAATACTCTTACTGCCTTTTCAAAAGAAAAAACTCCATAGTTTTGTTTTGGGCCCCACTATGGAACAGGGGAACAGTATTTACTATCTAGTATCCCTGCTATTTCCTCAACTGATAAAATATTGGAAAAGAAGCAGCATATTAAATGCCAAGATAATCGTGCTCCCATCAGCTTCTTCTTGGGTCATTTTCCTGCTAAAGTCAACCCAAGTACATTACATAGCATCATATACCACTTGAAGTCTGGGATGGCATATAAACCTGTGGTTGACAACAACAGAGCTAATTATCTTTACCTTTTCTCCTGTAGTAGGCTCTGTGCTTTAATAATAAATAAGCATGAGATTTTCCCAAAGTTAAGCAATTGTTATATATAATTCTTTGCACAGATTTTGGGAGCAGTACCTTAGCAGGGGTATGGGTTATGACAGCAGCAGGGGACTTTGTAATAGGCCATGGGCCTGCAGTAGTAAAGCAAAGTCACATGGTTCTAGGAGGCAACGGATGAGGTGTACTATGCCTCTTACTGTCTAAGCTAAAGCCAGGGAACAGTCAGACCCGGCTCATCCAGAATCACCACATTGTACGGAACCATTTTTCATTTCTGGAAATGTTTACTTGCTCATTCCTCATGCCTTCTTTTGTGCTGTTCCCCAGAGCACATTTCTTTTTCCTTTTTCTTTCTTTTTTTTTTTTTTAGACAGGATCTCACTATGTTGCACAGGCTACTCTTGAACTCTTGAGTTCAAACAATCCTCCCACCGTTGCCTCCCAAGTAGCTGAGACTACAGGTTCACACCACTGCACCCAGCTACCCAGAGCACATTTCTAACCAGCATACTCTTACTTTAAGACTCAGCTTAAGCATCATCTCTATGCAAAGACTTCTTGGAATTTCTTATTGACAGAATGAGGTAGTCTTTTTATTACTGAATATTCTATATCTTAAACAATTTTTCCATCTAACTTCTTTTTTCTTCAAACATAGAATCCTTTTTGAGTGTGTTTTTCACTTTATGCATCGTTAAATAATAGCTCCTCCTAAGTAATATGTCAGAAAATGTTTGATACATGATTCAATGAAATGTATAATAGCTAAGCAATAAATTCCACTTAATATACCTCCCATCTGAGACTAGTATTCTTTTATTGTATATTACTTATCATGTTTTTGTTGTACTTTATTTAGCCACAGAATATATTACTGAGCAGCATATACCCTCTCGGGGACATTAAAATAGTAGATTTTGGAATGTCTCGAAAAATAGGGAATGCATGTGAACTTCGGGAAATCATGGGAACACCAGAATATTTAGGTATGAATTTCCTTTTATTTCCTATACCATTTTGAAATGTATTAAGTAAATGATACCTCTGTGGAACTTGGTATCATTTAGAGCATGTAATTCAATTCAGTTAAAAGGATTTGATTAGTTCAAGTATTTTGATACATTAAAACTTGGTTATGACACAATTAAATGTATTGAATAAAAGTATCAAAACATTTACAGCAGTTCAGGGGAAACTGTATATTTCAGTGTACAAGTTGAACGTTTGTGTATAAAGGCTTTGTACATAAGGAAAAAAGAAATGGATAAGAGTGAAGTTAAGGAAAAATGGAAAATGAAAAACTGCAACAGTCAAGTGGCCCACGATTGCCTTTGAAGCCTGGCTAGTGCCTGGATCTCACTTCTAATTTCTGTCTGGTCCCAATTCCAGAGTGTTTGCAATACAGGTATCTTAAGTTTAAACTGACAGGAATTGTTAGCCGGCCACCTCCTTTTTGTTTATTGCTGCTGCTTTAAAATAGGAGGTTTTGCGTAGGGTTGTGAAAGTGGGTTTGAAGAAGAGTGCCAAAAAGACCCTTTGATTAGGTAATCTGGGCATATTGCATGAAATCCACAAATTAGATAATGCATATGAAAGGTTTTTAAGTTGTATAAAGCAGCATATACATTTGAAGTATTTTAACTTATAATAATAATCTTGTTACCTTTTTTTGTTTGTTCATACTTACACTCCCCATGTGGACATTGAAAAGATACAACTAAACAGAACAGATGCGACTCAGGCAGCTGTCTTTTACAAAAATGAAAAACAAAGAGAATTCCTAACTTTGAATACTAACTGGGGCTATAGTCCTAGAATAAATGAATGTAATTATTGCTAACAAAGCTCACAGAAATATGTGAAAATGTTGTAGGTGGTTTAACAGAAGCTGACTATATATGATTTAAAGGCTTTATTAATAAATGTTATACTTTAGAAAACAGTTTCTTTTTGGAGAAATTATGAAACCATATTTCGAAACAAGAAACTTATTTTTCAGTCATAAATCCTACTTTGGACTTTACTAATTTGAAATATATGGTAATGTTTAGAAAGCATAGAGAATTTGTTTTGTACCTTTTTTGGCAAGTGAAGACAGCAGAAAATTAATTGCTTTAGAAATTAGGTCCTTGATAGTTTAAGAGGAATGTTTAATCCACTTGAAAATCTACCATTTCAAGCCCAGGCACAGTGGCTCATGCTTTTAATCCCAGTACTTTGGGAGGCTGAGGCTGGCAGATCACAAGGTCAGGAGTTCGAGACCAGCCTGGCCAACATGGTGAAACCCCATCTCTACTAAAAGTAAAAAAATTACCTGGGCATGGTGGCAGGTGCCTGTAACTTTAGCCACTCATGAAGCTGAGGCAGGAGAATAGCTTGAACCTGGGAGATAGAGGTTGCAGTGAGCTGAGATCGCACCATTGTACTCCAGCCTGGGTGACAAAGCGAGACTCCATTTCAAAAAAAGCAGAAAGGAAAATATAGCATTTCTGGCTGGGTGCAGTGGCTCATGCCTATAATCCTAGCACTTTGGGAGGCTGAGGCGGGTGTATCGCTTGAGGGTCAGGAGTTTGAGACCAGCCTAACCAACATGGTGAAACCCAATCTCTACTAAAAATACAAAATTAGCCAGGTGTGGTGGTGCATGCCTGTAATCCCAGATACTTGGGAGGCTGAGGCAGCAGAGTCGCTTGAATCCAAGAGGCAGAGGTTGCAGCGAGCTGAGATCATGCCATTTGTACTCCAGCCTGGGCAACAAGAGCGATACTCCATCTCAAAAAAGTAAAAAGAAAATCTAGCATTTTCAAGAAGCATAATTTACTCATAATGCCATTGCAGATGCACGTGATCCTATTTACCCCAGAAGAGAAACTTAAATTAGTCTAATAAAATAATGCAAATTAATTCCAGAATAATAAAACTAAATTAAAAAAAAAATTCTAGCTTCCAGCATTTTACTTTTTTATGATTTTTTTTCCTGAGATTAACCTTAATGAGTTTAACTACCTAGCCACTAGTTACTCCAAGAATATTATCAGTGTTTTTGAACCATCTTCTCATAGAATTGACTCAATATTAGGGATGTTTAAATGTCCAATCACAGAATAATACTGTGCTAAATTTCTAAATTTCTATTATCTTATATCACTAGGCTTTCCAAAATTAAATCCAGTTATAATTTTTTTATTTTTGAGAGGGAGTCTCAGTCTGTCACCCAGGCTGGAGTGCAGTGGTGTGATCTCAGTTCACTGCAACCTCCACCTCCTGGGTTCAAGGGATTCTTCTGCCTCAGCCTCCTGAGTAGCTGGGATTATAGGCATGTGCCACCATGCCTGGCTAATTTTCATATTTTTAGTAGAGACAGGGTTTCACCATGTTAGCCAGGCTGGTCTCAAACTCCTGGCTTCGGGTGATCTGCTCACCTTGGCCTCCCAAATTGCTGAGATTACAGGTGTGAGCCATCACGCCCATCCCCAGTTATAATTTAATATAAAGCAGTTTTCTTGTTTTAAATTTGTCAATATTTAATTTAAATTTTATCTTCTCTTTCAGCTCCAGAAATCCTGAACTATGATCCCATTACCACAGCAACAGATATGTGGTAAGCTTTTGTTAGTTACCTAAACACCTTTGTGGAAAGTTGTGAAATGTATATTCTGGAGTTCTTTGACTCCAAGAGTAAATAATAAGGCTTTCTTCAAAAGATTTTATTTGAATATCATTATTAAGCTATAGGAAAATGTTTACCTATCCATTCTTTTTATATAACACTTAAGTTCTGAGCCAAAAGTACAGAAATAAATATGAAAATCTAAAGAACAAAATAACTGCAGTATAGTGCTGCATGTTTTATAATAAAGGCGAAATGCTTAACAAGCATAGAAGCAGCAGCAGACAGTCCATTGCTGGATTCCACCTCACGAAGGGTGACATCTGATCTAGGTCTAAAAGAGTTGGCTGGGCATGGTTCATGCCTGTAATCCCAGCACTTTGGGAGGCTGATCAGGCAGATCACGAGGTCAGGAGTTTCAGACCAGCCTGGCCAACATAGTGAAACCCCATCTCTACTAAAAATACAAAAATTAACCGGGCGTGGTGGTGGGCTTCTGTAATCCCAGCTACTCAGGAGGATGAGGCAGGAGAATCACTTGAATCAGGCAGGGGGAGATTGCAGTGAGCCGAGATCACACCATTGCACTCCAACCTAGGTGACAGAGACTGTCTCAAAAAAAAGCTAGAAGAGGTATTTTTTAAGCAGAAAAATGAGGTCAAGTCCACCCAAAAATGTACTTTTATGAGAGTACATCTCTAGGAAATTGTGAGTTTTTGTGGCTAGCAAAGAGAGAATAGGATAGGAAATAGAATCAGAACTGATACTGGAGCTTCAGTTGAGACCACAGAGGGGACTGACTCCACAGACCAACTGGAAGGTTTAGACCTGTTCTCTGTGTTCCATGGAGCTGCTCATGGGTTTGCCCAGGAACAAAAGATGGTATGGCTAAATAAGTTGGTAAAACATGTAATCTGTATTGTCTTTTTCTGGCTCCTGGGCATCAGACTTGCCATTAACATATTTACAGATTTGAAAGATCTGCAGTGAAAAAATTTGCCTGCCCAGCTTTGCGCTTCACCAAACTTGCAGTGTCTATTTGCGCAGAACTTCTCTTTACATCTCATAAGGCATTACTTTGCCCTTGGAAACCATTTAGGAAATGCTACAGCAGCTTTCCGTACTCCACAGCAGGTATTTCTGTGAAGGGTAGATTGTAGCGATAATTATGTATATTGTATACAATGTATTTATGTAACAGGTGTGCATTCATGGTATTCTCTTTCTGTGAGGCACACTTTGAGATCATTATTTTAGTTTTGATAATACAGGAATTTTGAAAAGCAATTTAAGTCTGTAGTATAACTGTACCAGTTTTGAGGAGAGGAGTATATTGAATGTTGATTGTACTTTATATAAATGTTCAAAAATAAACATATATTTTAAGTTCCCCTCCCTTGTTTTTCAGGAATATTGGTATAATAACATATATGTTGTTAACTCACACATCACCATTTGTGGGAGAAGATAATCAAGAAACATACCTCAATATTTCTCAAGTTAATGTAGATTATTCAGAAGAAACTTTTTCATCAGTTTCACAGCTGGCCACAGACTTTATTCAGAGCCTTTTAGTAAAAAATCCAGAGTAAGTAATAATTCTTTTAAATACTGTTACAAATTTAATTTGTTTAAATACTATTACAGAATAAATAATATATGCCTATTAAGAAATTATATTCTAAAACAATAAAATTATTAGAAATATGCTCAAGTTCTATGTAGAATGGAGAGAGAGGTAGTATGAACAGTCATTAACAAATATATAACTTCGGATATAAAATATACAACAAGGGATTTTGAAGTGAAGGAAAGATTAATTTCTCTTACAACCCTCTACTCATTATTATTATTATTCTCTTCTGTACTGTTTGGATTTTATACTGAGTATGTGTTATTTTCACAATAAATAAAAATTATGTCTATAATCTATCAAACTGAAGACACTTTCAACTTGATTTTTAGTTCTCACTTTTCCCTTGGTGCTTTCTTTCAAAGGAAAAGACCAACAGCCGAGATATGCCTTTCTCATTCTTGGCTACAGCAGTGGGACTTTGAAAACTTGTTTCACCCTGAAGAAACTTCCAGTTCCTCTCAAATTCAGGATCATACTATAAGGTCCTCTGAAGACAAGACTTCTAAATCCTCTTGTAATGGAACCTGTGGTGATAGAGAAGACAAAGAGAATATCCCAGAGGATAGCAGCATGGTTTCCAAAAGATTTCGTTTCGATGACTCATTGCCCAATCCCCATGAACTTGTTTCAGATTTGCTCTGTTAGCACTTTTCTCTTTGACTTATTTGGACTGAATTTGAAATTTTATATTCACTCCAGTGAGATTATGGTTTGTAGCTTCATGTATGACATGTTTATGTTGTAAATGCACTTTTGCATAGAATAATTTAGGGAAGTGTTTTAATGTTAAATTAATAGTTGCTAGCATAGTATGATTTCCTATTCGGAGATAGCTCTGCACAGAAGAAAATATTTAAATATATGAAAAAAAGTAAATTTGTACATGTATAGGAGTTTATATGTTAATGAAATAATTCAAGTTCAAATGAACTTAACAAAATGTTTTGCATATCAACAAAAAAAGTGGCTTGAGTTTTATTATGGTTGGTGTAAACTGAACACAATGAAAACATTGGAATTTAATACGCTCTCTAAGGTGACTGTTATATCATGCCTCTGTCAAAATAATTTGTTTAGGAAAGCAATATGAAGTTTAAGCCAAAATGTGTACTTTCTACTTTATAGATGCTCAAGAGACGTTTTACAGTTGAAAATGTTTTTTCTCTTCTTTTCTTTTTGAGACAGAGTCTTACTCTGTTGCCCAGGCTGGAGTGCAGTGGCGTGACCTCAGCTGACTGCCACCTCCACTTCCTGGGTTCAAGCGATCTCCTGCCTTAGCTTCCTAAGTAGCTGGGACTGCAGGCGCACGCCACTGCGCCCAACTAATTTTTGTATTTCTCGTAGAGATGGGATTTCATGATGTTGGCCAGGCTGGTCTCAAACTCCTGACCTTGTTATCTGCCTGTCTCGGCCTCCCAAGGTGCTGGCCCACCACACCCGGCCCTGAAAATGTTTTTCAATTACAAATAGTTTGAAACTACATAAGATTTGCATTCTTTAGGGTCTGTTATATGAGAGAGATCCTTTAACCAGAGCAAAGAGGGAGTTAGAAACCTGATCAGGAATATTCTTTACAAGTTGAAGCAGAGAAAAGAGTAGCATGGCTTCAGTTTTTAACTCAAATGTCTTTTTCCCCCTCTCAACTTACTGGAAATCTAATTAGCTCTAAGAAGATGGAGATAGTTGGTATGCAAGTGTAGAGGTTTTTTTAATCCTCCAGAATTTCTAGAATAGAAGATACTTAGGTAAGTTAAATATCCTCTATTTTTGGTCAAACATTTATTAATTGAATATAGAAGAAAAATGTTGACACTCAGACAGCTTACTGAATTTTAGATGTCTTCTACATCTTAGAATACAACCCAGTCATGCAGATTTCTAAAAGTATGCATAAAAATTTACAGCACCGATAGGACTATTAACGCAGTGGCAAGGCTGATGTGATCATAAAACATGACATCAGGCTCATCTGAAGTTGTTGTGTGAAATTCCTAGTGAGTGAGGAGGCTCAGGTTAGAGTGGCCCCTTATTGCTGTCTTTTGTTGGGACCAATGCAAGGAAGAGACTAGGGAGAGCAGAATGTTTGATTATGGTCAGTGACTGTGTCCAGCCCTAATGGTGGGGAAAGTTAGTCCTTTTGGGTAATCTTTTATGAATTTTCACCTGATAACCATTAAGTTATATTGGTCTATTATTATGTTAAGATAACTGTGATCTCATGACCATGTTGCTGTGTCAAAAGAAGCTATTTTGACAATCAGTAACAACAACCTGGTGTTCCTCCTTTGAATCTTTAACTTCTCAAAGTTTTGTTAAGACTCCAAATTCTTTAATAATAACTTAAAACAGTTTTGAATAACTGTCAGGTCACCTTATTTGACTACATGGTGAATTCTTTTAACATCTTCAGCATTTGTTGAGGAAAAGTTTTTTCTATTATGTGTATGTATGCACCTGTGTGTATGTATCAGTGTGTGTATATATCTATAGATAGATACAATATATTCTTTAGACAGTTTTCAAGATTCTTTGCTGTAGTATATTGTGCCCAACTCAGGTGCCAAAGGAGAGCGCTCTTTTTTTTTTTTTTTTTTGAGACGGAGTTTCACTCTGTCACCCAGGCTGGAGTGCCGTGGTGTGATCTTGGCTCACTGCAACCTCCCCCTCCTGGGTTGAGGCAATTCTCCTACCTCAGCCTCCCGAGTAGCTGGAATTACAGATGCATGCCACTGTGCCTGGCTAATTTTTGTATTTTTAGTAGAGATGGGGTTTCACCATGTTGACCAGGCTGGTCACGAACTCCTGACCTCAAGTGATCCCCCACCTCGGTCCCTCAAAGTGTTGGAATTATAGGCATTAGCCACCAGGTCCAGCCCAGGAGTTCTCTTCTTATGACATATACATATAAATTCCTTAAATAGTTCGTTGGTCCAATAAACCAGACATTGTCGGATCTAAATTGAGCTCTCGTGTATCCAAAACTGATAAGTTGTTTCTAAATTATCAGTTGTCCATGTGCTTGCCTTTGGTATTAAGAGAATGCAAGTAAAGCTTAGTAGGTCATTGGATAATGAGGAAATGTTTCTGAAGACCATATTTTTAATTTTTAGAGGAATTATGCCATCCCAAAAAATAAAAATCAAGAAATATTTGAATTTTAAATTATAAGCTCATTTGTAAAAAGATGTTATACCAACTTTCTCTTTCTCTGAAAATCTTAAAATAGTTTATATAATACAGAGTGATAAATTTCTGTGCCTTTTTTCCCTAATATTAAGTTTTATAGTAAAAAAAGCAACTAGTTGTTGCACAAAGCATATAAAAATCCAATCTTTTTACAAAGGTGAATTTAAATAATTTTATTGATTGGAATATTAAAAAAAAAGCACCCAATCTTTTAAGAGCTTTTTAGCAAAAGACTCAATTCTTACTCTTTTTCTCCACAGGTTGAAAAGCATGATGTATTTCTCGAAAGTAGGAATCTAGAGAGCCTCTGTGAGTGGACAGAAGTAACACTTGAACGCATGCGAAAATAAGTGTTATATTGTGATATTTTAAAGTTTAATTTGCTTTTTGGGTAGTATTCCTAAATAGATGGGATTTTTAAATAGATGATATATAGATGACAATTAAAATGGTCATTTTATTTTCCCTGCAGTAAAGAACATAGATCTGAGCAGTGAAATTGTAATGGCACTTTAAAAGAAGTAAGCAGTTAACTATTCTCTAGTCCAGCAATCCCCAACCTTTTTGGCACTAGGGACGGATTTTGCGGAAGAAAATTTTTCCATGGGACTTAGGGGTAGGGGGACGGTTTCAGGCACATTACGTTTATCATTAGATTCTCGTAAGGAGCATGCAACCTAGATCCCCTGTGTGTGTGATTCACAATAGGATTGGAGCTCCTATGAGAATCGAATGCCATGGCTGATCTAACAGGAAGCAGAGCTCAGGCAGTAATACTTGGCACCTCCCCTACCCCCCGCCCCTTCTGTACAGACTGGTTGTGGCCCAGGGTTTGGGGACCCCTGCTGTAGTCAGTAATGAGATAAGGTGCTTGTGCCAGAATATAAATCAACACATTGCTTCCTTTATCAAAGAAGTCTTGTTAATTAAAAAAAAGTCAACTGAGCCAGTATGCTTAGTGATGTAATTGATTTTCATTCTGGCACAAGCCTCTTTCATTCTGGACAGATCACAGATAGTTAATGGGCCATACTTTGAATAGCTTTCGCTAAGCAACATTTATACATATTGATATTTTACAACTGTTTACATTTCTTTTGTTTATTTTTGAATTTTCAATTTGATACCTGATTTGGTAACTTGTCCTTATTCATTGTTGTATAAACAACTGAAATTGCAAGTAGTATTAAAATTACCTGACTTCAGTTTGGGGGGATTATTATCAATTTATAATTTTATAAAAGTATTTTAAAGAATAGTAATTGTAAATTGTACATAAATTATTTCCTTGCCATCTTTTATTAAATAATATTGCTTAAGGTATATAGACAGACATTATTATCAGTACTCCAGTAAAAAAACTACATCAACTTAATCATTCTGGCTAAAAATTAAAAAGCACTTTTTTACATCTGTGATTGTCATTTGTTTTGAAGCATTTCAAAATTTATTGTTCTTAAAAGTGTGTCTAGATGTTCTGGCCTTTGATCTAGATCATCTGTGAACCATCTTTGTGTCTAATAAACATATCTATAAAGGCATATAAATTTGAAAATGAGTAGGTCTATTCCCTGGTATCAAAGAATAATTTTTAGAAAATGTCAGTGAATGAATTTATACTACATGCTGTGCTACAGTGTACTACATGTTGCACAAAAGATGAAGGAGGGATTCTTCAAGATGTTTATAATCTGGCTGTAGACTAAGTTACAGTCAATTCCCATTATTCATGGTAGTTATGTCCTATAAAGTCCCCACAGCCAGGAATGGTGGCTCACACCTGTAATTCCAGCACTTTGTGAGGCCAAGGCAGGCAGATTGCAAGGTCAGGAGATTGAGACCATCCTGGCTAACATGGTAAAACCCCATCTCTACTAAAAATACAAAAATTAGCTGGACATGCTGGCACGTGCCTGTAATCTCAGCTACTTGGGAGGCTAAGGCAGGAGAATCATTTGAACCACGGAGTCGGAGGTTGTGGTGAGCTGAGATCGCACCAATGCACTCCAGCCTGGTGACAGAGTGAGATTCCATCTCAAAAAAAAAGTTCCCATACTTCAGTTACTAATCATTGCTCCTAGGGGATATACAAAGTTAGGTTCCTGCAAACTTTTGTTGATAGCATTTTTAACCGATCAATGCATAATTTTGTTCTGTGTATTTCTATTTAATCACACTTCATTTAATATATATTGATGGTTTATTAACATTGAAGTAACAGGCAATAGCACTGTAATTCAAGCCTGAATGAAACATCTACTACACATATTTTTGAGGGAGAAGGAAAAGAGAAATCACTGGAAAAATTCAGACTGCAGAAGCAGCCTGCCTGATAAGTCACACAGCAACAGGCAAAAAATAAAACAACCTTGAGAAAAACTTGGGCTGTACCTGGACAGATACAAAGATCAGGCTGTAAAACACAGATAAGCAACTCAGGCACAGAAGTGGGGGTGAATCTCCTGGGTAATCACTAAACTTCACACTCACACAGTGGATCCCAGTAAAAACAGCCTTAATAGGCACATTCCCTTTCCTTTAGGCACACTAAGATAGGGAAGCTAGAAGCAGACGTTTCAGGGGGATGCCTGCAGCTGCAAGAAAATGTCTGGGAACAGAGACAGAAACTCTCCCCCAACCCAAATAAGGGACACAAAGCAGAACACAGCAACACAGATTAAATCTGCCTACGTGATCAAGGAATTAGGTAAAGGCTGATAGAAACTCTGCTCTATGCAGATAGCACCCCTGGTCCCAACTAAATCTTTGGGCCCTAG